CAAGTACAGCGATCCAGATGACATCTCGGAGCCCCGGTCGACGTCGCAGGGAGGCCTTGGGCAAATGGGTCCGCGCCCTGACAGGCATGCTGACCGCGAACTTCGAGACGGGGACACACCGACCATGGAAGGGCGCGGGACTTCTCGGCTCCGGATAGGCCACCCGAGTCTGCTATTCGCCGTCGATTCGAGCGCGCAGGGGAAGGCGCGGCCGACGACGGCGACCCGCGCCTCGAGTATGTATCCTCCTACTGTGACTTCCTGCAGCGCGCCGATGCCAGGGGGAGGGGGCTGAAATGGACGACGTGGGCCACGGAAGGAGCAAGAAATCGGGGGGGAGTCGCACGCGCCTCTGCCAAGAAGCGCCGGGAACCCTCTCACCTCGAAGAGCCTGGAGGGCTCCCTGTCAACGAGGGCCAGACGAGATCGCAGCTGCTCGCAGAGTGGCGTCTCATGTGGGCCCGCGAGGGCAGTGAGCGGGTTGGCCCTCGCAAAAGTGGGACATAGATGCAGCGCTCTTTTGCCCCTTGACTCCAAAGGCTTTGCAGGATGCGCGCAAGTCGTACTCTCTTTCCCTCCTCCTGCCTGCCGGCCAATTCGCTTTGTAGTGTCCCTGCGTCGCTGCCACACTGGAGCGGATCGTCCCGCCTCGCTGCCGACGGAACAGTAAGTCGTACTCGCAAGGTGCGGGCTTGGGCTGGGACCAGTTCCACCCGAAGCGGGTCCTCAGGCTCCCTCTCGAGTACCCGCAGGGGTTCCTCTCTATCCCCCTGGGCTTCGAAGACAATCCAACATGCATCCGAGGTGTTCCTCAAGGTTCTTGCCATCGCTCGGACGTCTATTATCCGTGCATGCTACGGCTTCGTGCGTGTATTTTCTCGCAAGATGGCACGACATGCTCCTCGATGGTCCTCGCCGAGAAAAGATGCACACGTCCGAGCGATGCCAAGGGTTTGGAGTAAGCTTCGGCAGCCATTATGTCGAGAGTGGGAACGCGCCCACCAGGTGGATTTCTTTCGGAGCAATGGCCCCACCACCGCCTGCAAGATAGCCGGGTGAACCCGCGACCTGTTGGCGGCGTTCTGCTGCGCGATGGGCAAGCGCCACTGCGGTGCTGGACTTGAAACAATCCTGCGAGCATGTGCGGCACTGCGGCTCATTCGGCGGGGCCCGACTGATCGATGTCAGCGCTATTTTTGTGTGGTGGCCAATGGCTTTTTACTACGATGGTAGGACTCCGTTATATGATGGGGGGATGTCGAGCTTTGTCCAGGCTTCAAGGGCGATCATTGCGGGTTGCTCGGCGGTGACGACTCCAGCGAAACCGCTCCTCGTTGGGCCGATGACTGGGTCCGTGTCTTGCAGGCCGCAGTTGCAAAAAAAAGGAACGTCGTCGACGACGTGTGGCTCCAAGCTTCTGGCCCGAGCTCCGTGTTCGTGGACCAGTTGCCGACGGCCGTGGAGAGCCTCTCCCAATTCTTCCGGGAGCTCGAGCTCCCCGTGCACTTGAAGAATTGCAGAGTTCTCGTCAGCTCCGCAGGCCCAGCAAAGTCGTGGATGGAGAATGGAACCACTTCCCACGACCAGCACGGGGGACGCAGACACTGGGAACCGACGCCAGCCTTGGGAGTGTCAGAGGAGTCGGCATCACGAGGGCGCGCTGGGTGTAATCCAATAGGTCTGCGCGGCGGCTGCCTCGGCATCGCGACGCGGGTGCTGAAAAATGCTGCGGATCCCGCGGCGTGGCCCGACGGCGCCATCGCTCCGGGGCGCCGGCGTGGCGGGGGTCCCACCTGCGGAGCTCCACCACACGAGGCCCAGGACGTGCAGGAGTTCCAGGGAGACTTCCGAAGGGGGCCCTCGATCGGCCTCCGCACGCGCTCGCTCCTGGAGAGGATCGGGGGTGGACCCCTGCGTGGTCTCCCTGGGCCCCGTGGCGCACCGGTGGGCCACTGCTGCTTGGGGCTCGGAGGCAGCTCGGCAGCGGCGTCAGGCTTCGTCGAGGCCTTGGGCGGGGCCGGCCTCTCCAATCCAGGGGGGCCGGCTGGACTCCGACGACGCCCCGGGAGCTGCGCGCCGACGACGCCCCAGGAGCTGCGCACCGACGACGGCGCCGCCGTCAACATGGCCAGCCCGGGGCCCGCCTTGGTCAGGAAGCTAGTGGAGGCAGGAGTGAGCTGCGCGTCGGATAGGGAGAGCGCTCGAGCCAGCCTCGTCGCCCTTGGGTGCTCCCCGTTTTTTGCTGCCGCGTGCAGGCGTTTGTTTTCCAGGAAGACCTTGTGTGGACTGAAAGACATCAGCGTGCCCGTCGGTCCGTTGTTGTTTGGGCTCCTGGCGGTCCCAGGCCCGCCTGCACAAGCGCAACCTTTCGGCCAGCCCTGCGTGCTCTCTGCGTGGCAGCACCGGCGGGGCGATCTGGCAACGATGCTTCGAATGCGATGCGCTAGCATGCCGCAGAGGAAATTCAGTCACGCCACGTTTGCTCCGCCGCGCCCGCCATCAAGGATAAGTGAGGTGCTTCCTTTTCTGAGACGGTTCTGGGCGAGTGACCCTGAGCTGGCGGGGTTTGCTGGTCGGTTGTGATGTGTGACCCCCCACGGTCGGGTTGTGGCACCGGCCTACGGGCCAAAGCCAAGAAAATTTGCCCCGCGCCAGTCGTCCCAGGACAGAGAAGATTGTGCCATCCACATGCTGTCGCAGGTTGCCATGCCGACTTTCCAAGTCTACCGTGGTTGCAAGGGCGCTGCCCAGAGTCAACTCAAGGGCCTTGGGGCGGGGTCTGGGTCCGACAACACCAGGGCCCACATGTGGGCTCCTTTTTGGGCCGCCTTTTCGTCAAACGATTTCGAGGCCCATAAGACCAACGCCAACTGCAGCATGACGATGTATTTAACGGAGGCACCACGCTTTAGGACAAGCGTGGGAACGACGCAGAAGACGAGTTTGCTAAGCAGGTCGCATCATGCACAAGGTGATGTTTGAGCATTGCCATCTCAGGCGAGGGCTCACGGAGCTTTGCCGAAAGGCTGCCCAGTGGACGGGTGAGGTTCACGCGTGGGTCGGGGACGGGGAGGTTGGGCGGGATCACGACGATCTTGGAGAGCTCCAGGAGGCACGTGGAGGGGCTGTGGAAGCGCCACCAGCGGCGCCTTCTCCAGAGACTCCCGACTTGCCTTCTCCGTTCCTGGCCCGCCCTGCTGGTGGGATGCTCATGGGCTATAAACTTGAACAGCCATCCTCTGCTATGCGCTCTGGTCGCTGCGCGCGATGGGCGCGAAGATGATCGAACTGTTTGTTGCGCCTGCGATCCCTACTTCACTGGCTTCAAGCCGGCGCGGGCCATGCTGCAGCCCCGAATTCGGGAAAATGCGGGCTCGGGACTCCAGGGCCAGCTCCTCCGACTCCGTTCGGGCGTTGGCAGAACTGGCTTTGGTGGGACCTGGTTTGGTGATGTGTACTCGGGGACGCCCCCCCTGCCCCGGTCCAAGAATCGGAACTGCGGCCCTGCGCCTGGGCCTTCGGTCGAGCATGTCCTCCTACAGGCGGATTGTGGAAGGAAAACTGACCAGAGTCAGCAGACACTCAGAAATCGTACACCCTGCGAAATGCTTAAGAAATCATGGGTTAAGAAATTCACAGTCTCAGAACTTGAATAAACACCCAACGTTTCCATGAAAATCTCAAGATTTACATTGAAACGTTAAGAATAATCGAGACTCTGGCCGAAAACTTAAGTTTTCTTAAGCATCGCCTAAGGTGTAGGAAGAGTAACAAAAATCCACCCCCCCAAAAATCGCCCCCACTTCATTTTGTCCCCATTATTACACACTCTTCCTCTCGAGGGGCGTGCCCAGCTTAAGCCTGGCCCTGGCCCCCCTGGCTCCGGAAGTCCCCGGGGCTCCTCCTCTCCGTCCTCCCCATCCTCCTCTTCGTCCTCCTCCTCTTCCTCCTCCTCCTCCTCCTCCTCTTCGTCCGGGAGGGGGTCCTTCCTCCTCCTCCTCCTCCTCCTCCTCCTCCTCCTCCTCCTCCTCCTCCTCCTCCTCCGCCGCGCGGGCGGGGGCCTTGGTGGTCGCTCCCCTGGGGCGGGGCCGAGGGCGTGCACCCCTCGGGATTCTTGGGCCTCGCGGAGGCCGACCACCCCTCGGTGGAGGCCCTGGGGATGCGCCCCTGCGAAAGGGGGCGCAGAGGGCGGTGCGTCTGACGCCTCGGCTCCCTCTGAGGCGTCCGAGGGAGGCCTGGACCAGACCTACGCCTTCGGGGCCCTGTCTCATCTCATCTCATCTCATCTCCTCGCTGCACCGCCAGACGTGTCCGCAAACCGGGTCGGTTGCTTCGGGCGAGGTTCCCCGTCCGCTTGTGATGATATAGCTACGGATGTATTGGTGCCACGCGCGTCGCCTGGAACACATCCAGCCGACGGTTCTCAAGCTGTGGCTAATTATTGCCTGAACACCCCGTGCAATCGCCTCAAACGTTTGCAACCGCTTCACGGATTGTGGGGGAGGGCAATGAAGAAGGAGGCCAGAGGAAGGGAAACGATGAGGGAGGGAAGGAAAAAAGGAGGGATGAGAGAGAAGGAGTCCGAAGGACTTGCAGGAGGCGAACAAAGACAACGAGGGAGTCGGGAGGATGAGGAGGAAAGGAGGGAAGAGGGAGGAGGGGGAGGAGAAGGAGGAAGAGAAGGAGGAGGAGGAGGAAGAGGAGGAAGGAAGAGGAGGGACGAAAAAAAGAGGAAGGAGAAAAAGGAGGAGGAAAGACTGGAAAGGGAAAGGGGTACGGAGAATGAGGGAGGGAAGGGGAGAACACGAGGAACGAGGACTCCAGAGGGACTGAAGTCTCCGGAGGCCCCCCGGGAGGCCGGCGCAGTTCCCGGAAGCCTCGGGAAGCCCCCCGAAACGCACAAAGCTTCGGCCCCATCGCCTCGAGCGTCCTCCTCGGTCCGCCCACTCCCCAGGTGAAGGAGAATCATCCTCACCCTGGGACGGCTAGGGACCGACTGCCTGACGAGCGCATGATCTTCAGCTTCCACAGCGGTCCTGCGGCGAAAAGGGTTGGGATCCAGGCAGAAGCGCTTGATAAAGAGGAGGTGAAGGGAGGAGGAGGAGGAGGAGGAGGAGGAGGAGGAGGTGGAAATGGAGGAGGAGGGGGAGGAAGAAGGAGGCGGAAGAGGAGGACGAGACAGGAGAGAAGGAGGAG